CATCTATTTTGTTCATAATTTTCTAAGGGAGGACCCCCAGACCCCCACCCCAACCTGTGTCCCCCCTTTTTAAAATGGTTCTGACACCCATGGTCATTTTGCAGAGTCAAAACCTCATTTTCAACACCAGAGCCGTCCAGCAGAAACACAGACATGAATTTGGACACAAATCCATCCTGGACAACTGCTCGTCTTAATAGTAGCCACAATCTCACTTTTATTTTTAAAATCATGAAAAAGCACGCCTGCAGCCTCAAAACGCTCCTTTTAAAACTTCGTCATCACTGAAAGACATTTTGGCCGGGATTTCCCGTTTTTTCAACCTAATTGAAGTGTTCCGTACGGGAYGCTCGTTTTCCTGTATTCTGGTGAAAGTGTGCATGCTCACATGCTAAATTGAGTCCAAAGGAGAAGTTAGCAGGGGAAGCTCTTAGCTTACTTTCATGGTCTTGAGTCAAGTCATCATCTGAAGGATGAAAGATAAAGAAGATAATAATTAGGAGCAGAGAAACAAACCTATTCCTAAAGACAAGCACATAATGCCTTTGAAAATGTGAAAAACTGTCACTTRATTATTTTGATGTGAATCTCCTGTAGCTACATATAATGCAGTGTTTCCTACCTCTACATGGCTCTGTTTTGGTTCCCTCCCCCAGCAGCATCTCCTGCAGAAGGCTGTCCATCCTGGCTTCACCAAGCAGCTGCGCCAAGTGGAGTGTCTCCACCATCTGCCAGGCAACACTCTGCAGGGGAGGGAGGATGAGGAGAAGTTCCCCCAGTCTTCCTCGCTGCCCGCAGGTGGATTCTTCGAGCAGAACGTGGGACTGGAGACGCAGTTGTCTTATCACCTGAGGGTTCTCGAGCCCCGGACAGTCTGCTGGGCAAGATGGTTAAATACTAAATATTGAGACACAAATTTTAAGCTAAATTTGACTTAGTTTACTCATCATTCTCAAAACGTGGAGAAAAGCAAAGTTTCCAGGTGAAAATTAAGCCTGCTTTATAGTTTTAAATACAATAAAAATGATCATACAGTTTGAATTTCGGCTCAACCGTACAAAAGAGGATTAGGGCAACTGAAAAAAAAACTTCAGACTTTTTTCCTCAGAATTCTGAGATTAAAGTCAGAATTCTGACTTTCTTTTCTCAGAATCAGGAAAAAGTCCGAATTTTGCCTTTAAACTCAGCCTTTTTCCTACAGGATGTCTGCAGAAAAAAGTCTGAATTTTTAGATTAAAGTCAGAAATATTATTTTTTTCCTGTTGGCCCTTATCCTCTTGTACAACAGAGAGACAGCTAAGAAACGTGTAAATATAAGTTTAGTGAGTGTATGTTGCTATCTCTGCTAATGTGGCAGATCAGTCCTCCTTCCTCGGTCCTTCATTGTGCCTCAGATTATTGCAGGCAAACTCTTCCTGACTGATGAGAACTTCACCACATCCTTTTCTGAAATCTTTCAGAAATTCTACAAAGCCAGACTACAAAGAACAAAAGCAAGTAGCAAAAGAGAAATTACAGCTCACAGAATGACTAGACTGACCTGGGGAGAAGAAAACAATGGCTCTGAGGCAAGCAAACTCTTTGTTTGTGATGTCCAGCTCCCTGAGAGGTTTGACCAGCTCCTCTTGGATCCTCAGAGCCACTCGAGACACCTCTAACTCTGCTCCTCTCAGAGGGATCACAAAGTCATTCCCTGATCAGTGAACATAGGCACATTATGTTCATATTCAAGATGGAAAAATCACACGTAACTCCGGAATGATTAATGACAAAAGAGGAAAAAGTCTTATTGTGTCCCACCTAGAAGTATGACATTACTGTAAGGCAGTGAGCGCCTTGCTGCCCCTAGAATAAGATGTTCTGCAGAATGGGCTCGCAGCAGGGTTACCTAGAAGCACACACACACACACACACACACACACACACACACACACACACACACACACACACACACACACNCACACACACACACACACACACACACACACACACACACACACACACACACACACACACACACACACACGCTTTATGTTTTTTTTTTACAACAACAACATGTTAACTTGTTACACAGAACAAAACAATATAATTACTTATTGAATCTCAGCTAAAGTCTAAGCCATTGTTACTTAATCCTGCATGGATTGGTATAAAACAGAGAGAKTGTTGTGTTTGATTTTCCTTTTACCCTGTCATCAATCTGAAGGCTACAGAACTCTGGGATGTGTTTGGCCCATTCCACCAGCAGGAGGAGTTGCTGCTTCATTGACTCAAACACGTCTCCCACACAGGCGATCTTCTTGGTGCTGATACCGTGACTGTGAGRTGAGGGCAGTGCTGGGAACTAAAAGCATCAAAGTAAAATGGGAGTTCAAAGTGAGCCCAGGTAATGGAGCCATGTGGAAATGAACTGTGAACAATGTTTCTAAATATGGTGTAAAAAAACAGTGATGTAAGATGCGTTTTTCTTTCTTTTTTAAATTAACATTTCATGTCTCCTTTAAAATAAATTCTAACCTCATAAAACTGTTATTTCATGTTGGAGTTGAAGGGGATTCAAAAGTCAGTTTAGATTTTTACTTCAATAAAAGAATCAGTTTTAATGTTTTTAAGGTTTAACTTTGACACACAGCCCCATTTAGCCTTAACTTTTTTTTAAAAAACTGAACTTAAAATAATAAAGTAAAATACTGAGTTTGATGAAATGTCCAGTAGATCACGTTAGCCACAAGCTTAGCTACATCATTAGGGTCATGAGTCAGTTGGTGTGGTGGGGCACATCCAGCACACATACACACCTAACTGAAGAATATCCAGTGACAATAATATGCATGTTTTTGAACTGTGGGAGTCAACTTCATACAGAAAGACCTCATGTGGATTTGAACCTCCGGCCTTCAACTACGAGGCAATCATGCTAATTAGCTGCGCCGTCGTGCAGCCCTTGGTTAAAGTGTGTGGTTCAATGTCAAACAGTTGTTCCCACTTAATCCCTACCAGAATAGTGTTACACATCAATTTTAACAGTTGCAGAATATTGCCAAAATAAGAAATATTGTATTCTTGTTAATTTTTATTAAAATATATCATTAATACAGTTTGGAAAGGATCTACTGGATTCCAGAAGGGAATTAGGAATTTTTTATTCATTATTTTAGTCCCTGTCACAGTTCCTCCTACTTATCTGGAAGGCATTAAACAAGCACAGTACTACACATCTAAATCATCTCTAATAGTTGTAAAGACACCAGTTATGTTTTTTTTTCCTCCCTGTTCATTTCTTTTTTATGTAAAAGCACATATCTGGTTGTTATTTTGTACTTTAGGGCAACAGACCTCAGTACCAGACCCAGTGGTGCAACAAATGGGCCATGATTAGACGAGATCTCTGTGCAATTTTGTTCTTAACTTCAATTAGGAGAAACTGAATCCAACCCGCAGAGTGTCCTTCTGGGAAGTAACTCAAGCTCTTTTCATCTTTGACCTTCACCCGAGCGATTTCAAGAAAAAAAAGCAGAGATGGTATCATTTATCAGTCATGCATGTGTGTTACCTGTTGCACGCTGGCCTCAGCCTGCAGCAGCACACTGATGGACAGGGTTCTGACTGCTTGTCCTTTTGCTCTGGTAGTGATGATGCAGTCTCGCTCATTCTGAACAGCTGAAGATCAAACACAAAAATAATATGGCCACAGAAATTTCCTTCTCAAAGCCCATCTATTCTTTGAGAAACACATTCAGCGTTCATCGCTAATGTTGACTAGAAACATTACTTAGATCAGGGGTCTGCAACCTGTGGCTCTGGGGCCGTACGTGGCTCTTTCGTCTCTCTGCAGCGGCTCTTTTAAATCTTTGACCAACTCTAACATGAGATTGATACAAACTAATGTTTCTGCCAAGATTTATTTAATTATATTCAAATTTTTGATTTGGCAACAACTTTTTAAAAAAGCCAAGTGAAAGCATAAAAAGTTGCAGGTGTACATTATACGCTGAAGAGGAGATATCTATTTAAGAACATTTATCACCATCGTTCTGAATGGCCTCTGACTGATTTCAGTGACTTTACAAAGTCAAACAACATGAGTGAGTGTTACAGTAATCATTCATCCTGGGCTCTGTGAGCACATTAATCAGACTACACAGGAGGAGAAGGAGCTGTKGGCTCCCTCTGAGCTTTACTGACAGTTTTTTGTTCAACAAAGTTCCAAATGAGTTTTGCTCATCATCAGTTAAGCTTAGACTTGCAGCAAACAAAGTGGGTTCAGAGATCAAGTGGAAAAAAAAGGGAAATAGGCTGTAGTCTAATGTTTTGCTTTGCCTGTTTGTTTCCAATGCAGGTTTGCTTCAGGCTTACATTACAAGTAATGTTGCAGCGTGTTATGGAAATCAGGCAAATTACTGAAGTAAAGGTTTAAATTAGGGCCCCTGGCTTTCACTTCAGAAGGCTGACAGTAACATCTTCCAGAAAAAATGCAAAACAAACATGTGGAGATGCTAAAGAATTTTAATTATTCATGTGTGGAGAACAGACTTATCTGATTCCATCTCTTGTGTCTCAGTCAGTCAGTTAAAGATAAGGCCAATGATATGCACAGTGTACATAAGCAAACACGAAGCTAAACTATYAACAGGCTCATTCTTTTACTCTGGGAAAAAACATTTCTCTTTGGTGGTTTGTGTGTTTTTGTCCTTGAAATAAATATGATGTGTTTTAGGCACATAAGCCAAATTTGACATTTAAAACATTTATGCAGGTTGTAGTTTTTTTTATTAAGAATTTATGAGCTGAACACTGAAGAAGATTTGTACGAAGAGACAAAAGAAAAATGTTGGTTCTGACCTTCTTTTTTCATTCCAGCCTTGAAACATTTTCGCAGTCTGCAGTAACGACACTGGTTTCTTTTGTCTTTGTCCACAACACACTGCCTGTTGAACCTTGAATATATAAACCATRTAAACACAGATGAACACAGTTTCCTTACTTCAAAGCTATGTCAAAGTACCGATCCTACTGGTCAAAAATTACTCCAACAAAAGTAAAAGTAGCTCTGTCAGAACATTACTAAAATTAAAATACTGGAGTTTATTTGCTTAGAAAAACATCTAAGTACTGAAAATACTTAAAAATGTCAAGTTTTTTAACAATGCATTTCACTTGAGTGTAGTCGAGAATAACAGGAAATTTTCTGCTATACTGGACAAATCAGTAACTCCAAATATAAAATAATAAGGCATTAGTCTTATACATTATTAGATGCTAAAGACACAATTTCATGCAATCACACTCACAGTGGTGGAAGTGTTGCTGCCATTCTGCACCTACAGACCCTCCAGACCAGCACAATCAAACCAAAAGATTTGTACATGGGGAAGTTGGTTTACATGTCTTGCCCAGGGACACAACAACAGTATGCACTCGGGCAGGGATTTGAACCAGCTATATCTATATATCTGGTTTAATATATGATATGTGAACTATATTCTAACCCACCCCCCTGTTCCCCTGGGCAGGGTGGGTGGTTCTTCATCTCAAGCACAGGTCCTGCAGAGGCCTGCGAGTTTGAGGGTTCTTCGCAGTATCTTAGCTGTTTGTACTGTGCTGTTCTGGGCTGAGATGTCAGATGTTTCTCCTGGTATCTGCTGGAGCCACTGCCCTGAGTGCTGCGATGACCGTGGGTGCTACAGTTGCCTTCACCTTCCAGGCTTGTTCTCTTCCCTGAGCCCCTGGTATTCTTCCAGTTTCTCCTGTTTCTTTTTCCTGAAATTTCCATCATTGGGGATGGCCACACCAATCACAACAGTTGTCTTCTGCTGGTTATCACTTGGTTTTGGTGTTCCATGTATTCCTTTCTTACAACCTGCTGTGAGACGCTGAATTGTTTCTGGGGCTTCTTTGCTCAGCCTGCACCTGGTRTCTTGCCTGGTATGGTAGATTTGGGCCTTAATCGCTCTTGTCCTCAAGGCCTGTTCCTGTGCTGCCATGGTCAGTGCTTCCGTGCAGTCCTCCAGTCCTGCCTTCTCCAGCCATTGGTAGGATTTGGTCATAGCAGTCACTTCAGCCATCTGTCAGTGGTACAGCCCATCAGGGGATTTTCCTCTCATGGAGGTTCCTTCAGCTCCTTCTTTTCCAGTTTCCATTATCTGAGACATTCACTGTGTCATTCATCTTTTGGGGCCTGCTTCCTGATGTACTCTTGGAACATGATCTTGGATGGCAGCTCTGATGCTCACCAGGCCTTTGCCTCCTTCTGTRTGCTTGGTGTGTAGCCTGTAGAGACTGGATTTTGGATGGAATTCACCATGCATGGTGAGTAGCTTTCGTGTTTTAACATCAGTGGTCTGAATTTCCTCCTTTGGCCAGCTTATTATCCCAGCAGGGTATCTGATTACCAGCGAGGCATGGCTGTTGATTGCCCGGACCTCGCTGAATTCTCAGAACTTGCCTTACTCATTGCAGGTATTTGCCTGTGGTACTGGTTCCATATACATATTCCATATATACGGCTTCCTGCAGTGAATACTGTTTTCTTGCAAGAATTTACTAAAAATTCAACTAATAAAGAATACTAATAACGTTGACTAAAGTTTAAAGAGGATACGGGATGAAACTCACCTACAGTTGTACGTGTGGTTGTTGCGAATGCTCCTCCTGAAGAAGCCCTTGCAGCCATCACAGCTGGATGCACCGTAGTGTTTACCTGTGGCCCTGTCTGCACAGATGAAACACTGAGTCCCACCTCCATCAGCCTGAGGCACCGACGAGGCGGATGCCGACACTGTTGCATCTATAGATTACAAAACAGATGAAAACAGTAACCCACTTTTGTTTTAGCACAGAAACTTGTGAGGTCTGAGAACCCCAGCTTTGTTCAAATCTAACATGCTCCAAGATGACAGAGATTAAAACTGATCCCTTTTATCATTTAGGGCACGTTAAGACTCTAATCTCACCTCTGTGAAATGGAGTAGCTTGGTACAAGGGCACAGCTTCAGAACCTCTGAATCATTTGGGTATTGTTTTATAGGTCAGTTAGGTTCTGTGTAGAAATATTAAAAGCAGGGTTGTACAGTTTGGAGACTTATCTCTGCTCCGTGTGAATGCCAAGAGCCTCTGAGGAGCTTCTGCCAGTTATTACTCTGGAGGAAGAGAAAACTCTCCATTTAATTAAAGCAGTTAGAGGTCAGTGTGAACCAAAGTCCACTGCTCTCCTTTGGCTAATTTCACACTGGGCACTTAGTCTTCCGTCCGCGTTGCTCTAAAGTGCACGCTGCCAGTGTTCAAGTGCTGCAGCAGAGACTGTACAGACCCCAGGCAATAACGTCTGCAAATTGCACACTTCGTTTAGACAGATGAGGCATCCGGGGATTAGGATTTAACAAGGAAAATGCTTTCTGTGGTCAAAGATCAGTTAGATTGAATTAAGAGATTAGAATACGGTTTGCCTCGYGGTTTTATGGATTTGAAGAGCGACCTGATGGTAAACTGCTTTATTTAAACTGAGCTCAAGCAGACCTGATGCGGCTTAATCGAGGATTAATTAGAATAATGAATGATTGTCAGATTACTGAGAAAATATGAAATGCAGACAAATACTGACCTGAAATGATTTATTGGAGTAAACAGAAAAAAAGGCATGTTTTATTAATTTATTAGGTTTGATATAAGTGACTTTTGAACAGAAGTGCCTCACTGGTGAACAGTATACAAGTAAATGTGATGAGCTCTAAAAGCTTATTAGGCTGATAAAATATGATTAAATTATAATTAATAAAAKCCCTTAAAAGTGTTGTCAATTTCTCCCTTTTTCAATAGAATCTCATCCTGTTAATTTGAATAAAGGTGGAGTTAACATACCTGTAGCATTTGTTTGCTGTAGTCTTCCTGTTGAGTTGTTRAAATGTTCATTGTCTGTTGCAAAAAAGATCATCCCATCAAGCTTCATGGTTCCAATGAGATTATTTTCAAGACTGTTTGATTAGAAACCTCCAAATTGTAAGCTGTCAGAGCATTTATTCACTTTAGTTCGTCTGCTTCACAGATTAATCTAATGTCTTTGTTTCCCTCTGCAAATCTTCTGAAATCTTCTTTGTGGACTTCTTTAAAATGTCCTTTCTGACGTTCTTGCGGTGTGTTGCAAAGCTTCCTCTGTGATGTCCCACTTTCAGTGACCTCTCAGTAGTGAGGTTTGGCCCACAGCTTGTTTGCTTCATTGAAAAAAAAGATATCAGTTAAGTACATAAAGGTGAAAGTTCAGAGGCTGATAAGCGTCACTGTGAGAATAACAATTGATCGGACAAATTGGTTGTGTTTTGAAAACAGGACTCTTCCTTTTAAAGGGAGATCAATGTGATTTTAAAAAAGTCAATAAAGGCAAAGAGGTGTTCAAAGGTTGCATGCGGGGATGTTTTTTTAAAATTGAATTTTAGCTGAAAATCTTCCCAGTGTTCTCTTGGCTCGGGCAATCGATACCACACAGACGAGATACAGAGCACAAACAAACAGAGGCAGACCGTTGAAAAGAGCCTGGATGCTGTCTGATTAACCTTTTGTTTTAAGTTTTTAGGTAAATGATACAATAAAATGCCTCACTGCAGGGGGCACATGTGGCATTTGATTACCAAGGATAGTGTTTTCTTTTTGTCTCCCAGTGTTGATAAAAGGATTTTAATCTTATGATAAAACTAAGCTTTTATTCATCTTTACTCATAAACATGTCTTTGGTGGTATTGATTAATACTGGAGTCCTATTACATGCAGAAAAACATGCTACACTTCTTTGATTCAGAAAAAAAGAGTGTTTTTTTCCTCCTCTTTGATTACTATTGAATCTTCACAAATGTCATTGCAGCTCAGACATTCAGTCTACATCCTGGAATGTGCAGTTGATTTGAATGAAGAACAAGCAAAGGATGCCTTTTTGTTATAAAGACACTCATTTGGGATTTAAAAATTGTTTATTAAACAGCAATTTATCCATGCATTAACCAAACCTGCTTTTCCATTAAAAAAGGTGAAATATAAAATCACTCTTATGGCCTCACACACAAAAACAGCGTATTTAAAAATTCAGCTTCACAGTGAAAACATCTTAAAAATAATTTTAAAAAAGGGATGAAGGTGACTATAGACAGTTCTTTTTAAAATTATAACAAATTACATGTCAGTCCACATATGCGCTTCCCCAGTGATGATAGCCATCATACTTTGGTATAATAGGATTTCCTGGGTGAGTGCTAGTCCCTTCTTCAATGTCATGGTAGGCCGCAGGTCAGACCACCCCTGGCAGTGGCTCACGCAGTCGAGCTTTATTTAGGTGATTGATAGATAGTAAAAACCAGCAGATCGTAAGAAGACTGCAGAAAAGCTTCCTCTGGTCTGTGAAACTATCAGTAAAGGAATTAAATGATTTATGAACAGTGATTTTAGTTTTTATATCCAGATTAAAGATACATGTTGTATCTTGAGATATCTTGAAAATGTAATTTCTTAGTTTAGAAATGTTGTTTTAAYTTAACATAACACTGATGAATTACAAAGTGTTTAAATTCATTCTGACGTGTGCATGTTATTTCCCTGTAAACAAGAAAATCATTCATTCATTAATGAGGCAGTTGACTGACCTTTCTCTGACCACTAGGGGGAGACAGAGTACACGTCATTCAGACAAATTGCTCTCATTTTTATTCACACATCCTACTTGTATTAATGTTTAACGAACTTAATCTTTAAAACAATGAAGAAATCATATCATAAAGGAATGAAAATTGTTGCGTAATCTGATTTTTGAAAGCTTTTCAGTATTTACCTTCACACTGTTTGGACAAAACTTTTATACAACACATTTACAGCTGGACAACATTAAGCTTTTAAAATATTCATCCACAGGTCCTGACCTTAAACTTTTAGGAAATTGTGTGGACTGTGCTTAAACATCAAAATCTTTCCAGAAGGCTTAAACGTCTGTCAATTATACCAAGAAGGTTAAGTATCCAACCACAGTTCTGCCTTCAGCTTCTTGTTGGCCACCAGAAATGTCAGGTCAAAGGGCATCTTGCCAAAGGCCATTCAAGCAAACAGCAGCTGTATCAAATGTATGCTCTTGACTTTGCCTGTATAATTGTGACCCCGTGCTACTTTCAGAAAATCCAATATACATTAAAATTGCGCACATATTTTTTAAATAWAGATGCATAGTTTGCAATCATTTTGCCAGAGGAGATAAAAAATGTCAACGTAATTAAGGCCAAATACTGTTATGGATGCAAACTTGCAACAACTGACAGCAAGAACTAACTATTCAATCGGAAAATAGCAAATTAAAAAAAAAAAAAGGTTTAAAGGTTAGGATAATTTCCACAAGGCAACACAAGGCAAAATCCATTATCCAGTAATTCATTAAAATTTTGGAAAAAAAAAAGTTAGACTCCTTTCAGGCCCATCCTTCTGTCTTCAGTTCTTTAGGTTCTGACTGAGTTTGACCCTTAGAAACCTTTTCAATTTAATAATAATAATTATTTAAACAATGAATGAGGAAAACAATGACAAAGTTGAATATTTTAGAAATACTTGCACATATTAAATGATTTAATAATGAAGAATCAAAGAGCAGTGAAAAATATGAATTATGGCTTTTTATTTTGATCCACAAAACAGAGAGTAAGTAAAACAAAGAACCCACATGCCTTCCCCAAATAAAGTGATCATAAAAACATTGTAAGCCTGTGATTTACTGTGGCGACAAATAATGGAAGAGTGTCCATTCATCATACAGACCAGCTCACCAGGAGAGATACTGTCACAGACTTTACCCTGTCTGGGAGGCATTTGGAGGGGAAAGAAACAGCCTCCAGTTTCCCCCGCAACCTGTTTTATCTGATGACTTTTCCAGGCAAACACATAAAAACCAGCTGACAGGAACTTTGTCTCTGCTACTCTCCAGCTCCATTCTTAGTTATGATGAGATATAGATGTTGTAACAAAGAAGTCCGTGATCAAAGTTAGGAATACTAGAATAGCAAACCCAGATGATAGAAACAAAACCGAGTTTTATGGTGAAAACTGTAAAAAAAAAAAGAAAAAAAAGAAAAAAAAGTCTAAATGGTAAATCGCTCTGAAAAGGACCCAAGGAGCCAGAAAATAATAAGCAAAGAGGAAAACTAAAATAAAGCTAAATAAGCTTTTGAAGAATGTTGACCTTTAGAACATCTTTCTTAATGAAGCAAACAACTCTGGTTTCAGAACTAATTCCAAACATATGTTTGTGGGGTGAAACTGGACGTGAAAAACAAGAAGAGACTGAACTTGTAAAAATACCTCCAATAAGATTTTAATGTGAAACTTGCTCACTGAGAGATGACAGTACGAGCTACCATGTCATTGTTGTGCTSTAATTTTCAAACCAAACACATGAAAATAATAGAAATCAAACATTAGAATTCTTTCACTGGAGGTCTCTTTTATTCCCCCCCCAGTCATTTCAGATCAACAGGCTAAAACACATAAAAACACGAGGCAAAGTGGTAAGAAAGTAATATTTCTTAACTAAAATCTATAAATGATGTATGATTTAAAAAATATCTATATACATTTTGCCAGAAGGTTCTAAAAGCAGGGCAGAAAGGCAGCTCAATCGCTAATTTYCCACATTGTTGGGTAATTTTGCAGCTGATGTTAAATTGACGTTTTGCTTGCTCTATAAATTTAGTCATTCCCATTTTACAACATGCACCATTTTCTTGCCATGTCCAACACTTAGTGGTCATAAAGCAGTTAATGTAGCTTTTGAAAGATGAGTTRAATAATCAGTATCAGAATGGTCCCAGAACTTTAAGAAAAAGTCACTTAGTTCTGTTTCAAAATTTACCAAACTGTTTTATTTTATAGATGTCAGGATGTTGGTTAATTAGTTGACTTTTTGTGTTTTAATATGTATTTATGCATTTATTTATGGTTCTCTGAGACTCAWGTTTTCAGTTTTTCAGTCTTTGTCACTCCTCCTCAGTGAGTTTCTGCTCCTCCCTCCTGCCACGCCCACCTCACCTGCTCCTCCTTCCCTGTTTGCCACAGCTGCGTTCACTTTCCTCGTTAGCTTCAGTCTTATTCTGTCAGCTTCTAGKCCATTCTCAGTTGAACATGCATCTTACACGTCAAGTCTAGTTTCTGTGCCTGCTCCGAGTCTCCCTCATGGAACTGTAAAATTTGTTGCCACGCCCACTTTTTGTTTTGATAATTAAGTTTTGCTTAGTTCTTCAAGCTCAGTGTTAAGCTGCAWTCCTGGGTCCAGATCTTCCTGCCAGCCAAGAAGAACAACAGGAACAAAACATTAGTTAAGACTACTTTCTTTCTATTTTTAAATTTTTTTTTGCATTTTAATGCTGCTATAACTTCATCTGCACTGCCAACTCACAATAATTTTGCTCAACCTGCTGAAGTGAACAAACAACATAAAGACTAAAAAATCACTCACATCCTAAATAAATTAATAAGGTAATTGATAGTTGGATTAATTATAGTTAAATGTAATTCTTGTTAATTTTAATTAATCGTTATTAATTAACTTGGCTCATGTGTTGAGAGATTGTATAATAGATATTTCAGGGGGACTTTAGGGCAGAAAAGGTTTTGGTTGACAGCTTGGTTTGACCATCTTTTACCTCCAAAATTAGTTCTTTTCCTGTATTCAAATTTGCACAAAGTTTTGGAGTGTGCATGATTATATTCAGATGTATAATTACCAAATTGTAGCAAAGCACTGCTTATAATCATTTTTAYATCGAGGCTGAAGCACGTTTATTCACTTAAATAGAAGCAGCTCTGCAGGAGACTTCAAACTGGCAGAGGAAGAGCCAAACTCTGCCATCAGGGTCAGGTTGAAGAGAGCTCTTTGTGTTTTCTTAAAATGAAAAAAATCTGAATCTATGGCTGCACAGAGAGTATTAGTGGCTTGTGTTTCTTTTTGGCATTCGTTGGCCATAAAGGAAAAAAAAAGTCTGGTGACATCAAAGCCTGAAGTTTCAGCGCAGTGGCTCTTACAGTCAGCGCTGTCATGGTGATTATGTCTTTACATGGTATCTTTTCAAATCTCAGGGTCATGGTTTTTAGAGATTGTGCATGTTCTGAAGTGTTGTTGAACAATGATTTGGGTTGAATAAACTACTGCTAAAGTTCAAGAAGAGTGCACGCCCCCCTCTGTCTGTGYATGGTTACACATGACCTCATCTGATTTTGCAAAGAGAAAACTCTTCCATCCTCAGACATGTTGGGTGTTTTAAGATTTAGTGTATTTACTAAGCAATAATGGTAAAAGTAGAAGATTTTACGTTGCAAAATCGTCGATGGATCTGAAAAAAAAAAGTTTTCCTTCGTGGAATATTTTTGTTTGTTTAAATGTGAGGACAACAGCCAGAAAAAGACAAAAAAAAATTACTGTGAAAAAAGATGAAAAGCTCTTTTTTGTTCTCCACAGTCTTCTGTGAACCACTTTTATTATTAAATCCACTTGTTCCCAAACCTGTGCTTAATCTTTCCCATTAGTCACATTTCAGGGCTTACAGACTGCACCAACAAAAGTGAAAGATTAAATGGAAAATGCAGATGTGCGAACAGTATGGCTTGTTTTATAGCTATCATGGCTTTTTAGTAATTTAGAAAAACTAACTTGCATTGACAGGGTTCTCCAAGTCCACTCATAAATAAAGWTCACATTCCTCTGCAAAGGAAAAACCTGGAAATGGCTTTTTTGGTTGCTTCTCAGAGAAGCACCAATGTCACAGTTAGCTTGTTTCTAAGGTATGAATCAATAAGTCGTGCTTTCATATAAAGTTAGTTTCTTTGTTAGGTAGGTTTAAATRTCTCTGGACAGAAAAACATAAATGAAAAGACTCGTAAACCTTAAATTTCACGTTGGATGGGTTAGYGTTTTTGAAAATTGTCTTTTTAATGCCCCCCACCTCCCATGGTGTATAAGCAGTCTCTTTCAGCATTTAAAAAGCAGTGAAGTGTAATATTCAACAAAAGCATAAAGTAAAACCATTTTCCCTGCTAGAGCAGTGATTAGAAGCTGCAAAAGAGGCAAAGGGTGGAAGAACAGTTAATTTTTATCCATTTTTAGAAGACGGGAAAGCAACAACCTGTAGGAAGTTTGTCCAGAGACTCATTAAGAAATGCTACAGCTAACTGAATCTAATAGTGCTGCCATTAACATCAGCTTTTTTGTTTTGCTCTTCTCTTCTCTGTGAATTAGTCCAATGTGTGCTGACAAGCAGATCTTGGTGAAGGGAGGAGCAGATGGAGAGAGAGAGAGAGAAAGAGAGAGGGACGATTTCAAAACAAGGTATGAAAATAACTATATTTTATTTTTTTGCATGTCAAATTTTGGGTGTTATTGTTCCAGCGGGGCTTTTAACGTTCTGAACAGAAAGAACACATTGTTCACATCAAGCTTACAAAAGCTGAAGGCTCAGTCGTGAGATCATGACCTCGCAGATAAAGAGACAAAATACAAGAGACAAACTGAATTCAGAATAGGAGCTCTACAAAAACAAGAGAAAGACAAAAAAGGAAAGCAACTTTGGATATATGACATTGCATATTTTTTATGTTCACAATTAGATTCACAAAAATATAGACTTTTTTTTTGGTCAATATCATATAAAAGACAAAGCCATCTCATTACTAATACAGTGGCCAAAAACTTCAAATTCCAACATTTTGCAAAAATCTTCCAATCTACCATTTTATATTATACAGTGTGTGTTGCTGGAGGGCTGAGATTTCTTGACTGCAGAAATGTAACCGTTGACTCTGGGGGTCGAGTCCGATGAAAATCTGGTGCGCTTTTTACTCTGCCCAGTCAAATGTGAAATAATAAATAAAAAGAAAAGAAAATGGCTGCTMTCCTGCCTTTACTCCTGGTCCCTTGCTCTTTGTTAAAACCATATCTTTGCTGCTCCATTGCCCCCAGCAACATTAAATCCCATTAAATTCACCTTCATTAAAGCAGTCCTCTCCATTGCTTGCTGCAGCAGCTCCAGTGCGGGCCTCTCAAGGACAGAGCAGTAATGAGGGTGGACTGGATTTAACCTTGAAGAGTACAGGTTTTCATTTCCAAATCAATAACTTATGGTTCAAAACTGCCATTAGATCCAGGCTATAATTTTCTAGCTTTAATTGTGTGGATTAGGTTTCTYCAATGGTGAGAAGGCATTTAGCTTTAAGCTGCAGCGTGGAGATTACATTTATCATTATAGTTTTTCCTCATTCTAAAACAAAAACTGACAGCTTGCACATTTTGTGCAGGAGTTTATGTGCATGTGTACAGTTTGCTGAACAGATGGGATAACTTAAGGAGATTGTATTTCAAAGAGTTGGTATGAGTTATTAGGCTGTTGGTGCAATTTTCTTCAGAGAAACCAAGCAGAGGACAGCACGATACACATTTCCCCCGACTTCTGCTCAATCCAGTCTTACATCCAGTGTCATCATTCACTATGAGGAGGCAGAAATATAGGAAACCTCCTGTACAGCTCTGTAAAACAAGATTTGTCAGTCACCTGCAGTCAGACCAAGTGGGAGAATATGAATTATGAATGAAAAATTAACTCTCGGTTGATAGGCTGGCAGCAGGGGAAAAAGGAAGTGGGGGGTGGGGACTTGACCTTCAGGGAAATTGTTTCATCTCTTGTCTTCTTGTATGTTTTTGTGGGACACGGTCTGTGGTGGGGTCAGGTGATCGTATGGAATGCATTCATTTGTCCTGCGGTGATAATTTCTGCCCAACATTTTTCATAATGTGATATATCAGATCTTTTCATGAAACGAAGCAGGACTGAAGGTGTGGTGATCACTGGAGCTTAATTTTTTAATCAACTTCTCTTTTTAGATGAMGCTTTATTAAATTATAAACTCGCACAGTGGGACTAGAATGCGAGCGGAGTGTAAAAAAAAGAGGGCTTTGTGGGATAATTAAATAAAATTAATGAAAAAAGGCCTYCTTCTAGTGAAGACTGAGGAAAATGGGAAGGAGACAGAATCCATGAGCCATGCCGTGCTTGGCTTTTCTTTCATTTTTTTCTCATTAGTGTTTCAGGAAATGTACCATGTAAACTTGTGAAAAGAAGCAAAAGGACACATTGTCTGCAAGATATTGATTCACAATAAATGGAGACAATTTTATTCTCTTTTTCTTTTACACAAATTCATACAGTGTGCACTGGAAATAAATAGTCTTATTGTTACTTATCTGCCAAAGAAAATGGATATAATTTATTTGATTGTGTTTTTGCAGCTTTTGTTAGGTGTCAAGAGAATATAAACTAAAATTACAGACAGAATGTTCAAGTCCTCTAGTTTTTTCTGCTTAAATCTTTGAGGTTCTGTTGTACTGTCATCCAGACTGATAAACAACTCTGGGTATTATTTTTGATTTGATCAGTTTTTAAACAACATAAAATCAAACAAATGTTGATTACCACTGATAAATCTGATGGCACTTTTGATGGTTTTTTTAAAGTTGTGTTTTCTTTCCAAAGTTTATCTTTATTTCTGCTTTTGCCCTTTTTTAAAGCAACACAGTAAGTTACAAATTCAGTTTCTCAGGAACATACGGTTATTCTTTTGTTTTTGAAAATGCGGCAACCAACACGGACCCTCAGGAATTRGACTAAGCTTAGAGTTAATATTTAAGGTTCTGTTAAATATAGATTTTGTTTCATTGGGTTTCTTGCTTTTATTTACCTTTATTTATCTCAGAGATCTCTTTTGCAAGGGAGGCCTGGGCCTGAAGGCAACCTATTGTTGAGGGCGTAACTTTAGGTCTGCCATTGTGTGTGTGTGTGTGTGTGTGTGTGTGT